TACAGCTTTTTCCCTTTCTCTAGTGTCTTCTCCTGTAACTGTCTCATCACAAAAATGGCATCTGTTGTGCTTTTCCCCGCTGAGAATCCAAATTGTGAGTTGTGGATCCTGACTATTAAGCTTAACACTGAAAATGAATGTCCTTAAAAGACAGAAATGGACATAATGGCCAAAATAAAGCAAAACCAACATCTAAATCAAAAGAAAATCATACAATAATGCTAGAAAAATGTATCTTTGTATCATTATATTTTAAGAACATATTTCAGGTCTATACTTCAAAACACCTTTCAGTTGTCGAAACACTAAGACTGAAAACTGTGTTTTATCTAAGACGGCTTAAAATGTTGGGCACATGAGAACAGGTGACAAAATACAACTGTTGCCGAGACTTTTAGTAGCAAAACCGGATACAGGAAACATTAAGTAGGGTTAACAAAAAAAAAGAGGTCAGCCTATATCACTCACCTTGGTAAATTGTGCACTCCCTCACAAAATTTCAGTGTTTGTTTTGATGTGATTTCTTATCCACTGTAATGCTTAGATGTTAAAATAAAGTACTTGAACTTGAACTTGAACTTTATTGCCATATGTAACCGGTACTGGTACAATGGAATTCTTACTTACAGAAAGTCTCTCGATTGTAAAACAAGTGTAAAAAACAAGACAAAGTGCAAACAGTGCATCAAGACAATGTACAAACAAACAATAGACAATGTGCAAGTAAATATGTAGACAGTTCGAATGTAAACAATACAGATGTGTAAACAATGACCTTATTGCTGTTTAAGAAATCCATTAAGAGGATGTCTTTTTATTTTTACAGAAAACACATCTTGTTTAAAGGTAGCCAAAATCTAAAGTAGCATGGTTTTGTCAATTTATAATTTACATAACAAATTTGGGCAGCACAGTGGCTGGCATTGCAACCTCAAAGCACTGGAGTCTTGGGTTCAATTCCAGTCCTGGGATGATACCTGCGTTGAGTTTGTATGTTCTCCCTGTGTTTACATAGGTTTTCTTCAGATACTAGAGTTTCTCTCACAGTCCAAAGACTTGTTGGTAGTTTGATTGGCTGCTGTAAAAAATCGGCCCTTTTTTGAGGGTGTGCCCTAAGATGGTCTTGTTTCCAGTGTTTCCTGAGACTATGCTTTCTGGGCTAGCACGACCCTGAATTGGAACTGAAAGTGATACTGTATAACAAAGTATTAGTATTACCTAGGAATAAGGCCATATAGTTTGTTAATATTTTAATCTTCCAACTCTTGTCAGACTGATTTCTAAGAAAAAATTCATTTAACAATGAAAGGTAAATAAAGAGAAATACATAATGAGCCTGTCTTTCTAAACATTCTACAAGTATTTCTTGTTTGAGTTTGACACATACTAAATTGAAACAAAGAGTATATTTGACACTCCACGAAGGCTTCACAGCCAAAATGTTGTTTCTTTTCTTCTCTTTTCAGCATGGAATAAACCTTTACTTGTTCCTTTGCAGCCTTCGCATGCTGACACAGCTACCTATTTAAACTAAAAAGTATATATTATATTCAATGAGAAAAAAGTGAAAAGGCCAAATGTGAAAGACGGGTTCATTCTCAAAATGACATTGTATAAGTTGAGACAAAAAATGAAAGAAATGCATTTATTTTCTTATCATTTATTTGGTTTCACAAATTCAAGAAAGACAAAGACAGTAAATGATAATTGTTATTCTAAAGCTTGCAGAGCTACACAATAAGTGACAACTTCTCTAGTTTAATGGATTTTTTACTTTTCAAAGTCATTCAATTATGTTTTAGTGTATCCAGAGATTTCAATTCCAGTAAAAGATAGCACATTATGAATAATAGAAAACTATTTATAATGAGTATTATGTAGAAAAATACAAATATCAGTATACTATTATGTATCCCTTTTTAGAAAACACATTCTGAATAATCATGATAGTACGATTTCAGTACACAATGCTTTATTACATGCTGTGATTATTACCATTTAGGAAATGTTTGCACTATAAATGCAAATCCTCCACAATACCTATTGTGTTCAATAGCTTAAGAAGTACTGCATCCAACATTAGATTAGTTTACAAAAGGTATGAAGGTATACAGACATCTACATACTTACTGTCCAGTCTCTACGGCTACTGTATATACTTGCATACAGAGAGAAACTGATCAACTCTTTAAAGAGAAAATATATTTTATAACATGGTTTTAAAGAAATTGATGTACTGGAAATTTCACAAGCGTAGAGCTTTAGAGCACTTAAAGGCTAACAGTAAATTCCCCATTTATTTTAAATTCTACAAATTACTTTTCTCAAGCTACAAACTGAAAAACAATCTCACAACCCTAGAATTTTGGGAGGGAAATACTGCAGGATAACATTTTGCATTTTGCCAAGCTTCACTTGTTTATCCATTTGCTTTGACAAACATTTGACAGAGAGAACCTTTATCACAGTCTTGAAAGAAAAATGTATCCCACAGTTTCTAAAGAGAGCAATAAAAACATGCAAACGCACAAGGTATTTATTAAATTGAGCCCTTGGGATTTATATAGTACATGACATGGAATATTCTCCAGTTTTCCTGTCATGACTACTAATTTGCAGGGAATGTGTCATTGCTACATAATGTATCTATGCCCTGAAAGAGAACTGTCTTTCCTATTCTGGCTATCAGGTTTCTAAATAAATCAATCAGTAAGCCTTTATAGAATGGAATACAATCCTTCAGCTCCAAATAGTTGGTGAAGTATAGAAGACTGAAATTTGATGAAGATCAACAATCATTCATGTCCTAGGCACACAAAAGAAGGTAGTCCTTGTTGTAATATTTTCTGCACAATATATTCACTTCCCAAGACTCAGAGAGACATACCATTACTGTTCTATAAAAATACAGTTCTCTATTTTTCTAACATTAAGATATGGCACGAATCATTCTGTTACATTTTACATCTAAACAAAACCACACAATCTTAAAACAATTTTAATTTAATAAACATTTTTATTATTTCAATTCTGCTTTTTAATGTCATAAATGAGCGCTAAACATTATTTAAGATTTCAGTAAGCATATTTAAACAAGCCAATGATTTCTTTTGAGATGATCAAACAACATATTATCCATGGGGATATGCAGGCTTTTGGCAGACAATAATACTTTAAACAGTACATTCCCAAGCAAAGACACAAACAATAAACAAATTTCAGACATTAGTTGGATGTAGAGTAGTTGAATTCAGGTTGTCGGCAGTATCTTCTGCATCTAAAGCCTTTTTTGTTCGGAACCTCACATGAGCTTCAGGATGGACAGAATCAAGTCTTTGCTCACATGTGAATGTAGTGATGAAGGCATTTCTATAGTTCATATTCATCCAGCCGTAAAGGATTGGGTTGGCAAAAGTAGAACACATAGCAATGATATGAAACAAAGTGTACAATAACTTGAAATCCTTCATGTCTAAGACACTGTTATCAATGTCAATAGCAAGCTGAAATGCATGAAATGGTAGCCAGCTCACTGCAAACACAACCACCACCGCAACCAACATTTTCGTTGTTTTCCTTCTTCTGTGGTGACGATCATTCCCCCCTCCTGGACTCACGTGATTTTTCAGTTTACTCCAGATCCTTATGTATGCAAATAAAATGATGGAAAGTGGCAAAACATACTGGAGCAACAGCATTGAGATACTGTAGACAGTGCCGTCCCTGTGACTTCCCGGCCATTTTTCTGTACATACCTGAATAGATTCATCAGGAGAAAAATGGAAAGTTCCGTATTCTCTGAAAATAGCCAGTGGGCTTGCTAAAATAGCACTGATGATCCAGGTAACACCGATGACCACAAAGGCCATTTCTTTGGACATTCTGGTCTCCAGGTGATAGACTATGCATCTGTGTCTGTCTAGGGCAATAACGTTCAGGGTTACTGTGGAGACATGCACTGCTAAACCTTGGGCATATGGAAGAAGGAAACACAAAATCTGTCCAAATTTCCACTCTCCCAGGAGGGTGTAGATCAATGTAAAAGGCAGACACAGAGTATTCACCAATAAATCTGCCACAGCAAGATTGGAAATAAAAAAATTAGTCACAGTTCGCATTGTTTTGAATTTATATACAACATAAATTACAAGGGAGTTTCCAATAACCCCAAGCAGTATGATGGTACTGTAGGCCAAAATAAGTATTACTTGCACTCCAATGAGTTTTGTACTGTCTTCCAGGTCCAAGGGAACCTGTTCATTAAATGAAGTTGTGGAAGTTGTGCAACATTTTGTAGAGTCTACTCCTGACTCATACAGCTTCTCCTGTGTCACGTTCATTTGATTTTCAGAATCCATTGGTTCCACTTCCACATACACAGCAATTCTGAAAACACAGGTAATATTGTAGAGAACTTTAGTTTTTAATGGCAAAATAGGACATTTTAGTTTTAGTCATCTTTATTACCTGGTAATTAAACAAATCAAGGAGAACTGAACAAAACACAACATTATTACTTAATGTATATATATATAATGTTTATACACAGCACGCATGTCTGTTACATCTGACACAAATGTACCACAGAGCATTTAATTCATTCACAGATCTTTCGATTTACAATGGTAGATGAAATATAATATTTCAGTAACTCTGAAAGCCATAACTTTAAATAATGTTTAGCTTAATAAAATGAATAGAAGCCTAGCAAGCCTAGTTCAGTTCAATATTCAGTTGAATTCAATATTCAGGTGAAGGAACCTGGATACAGAGTACATTACAGAAAGGACAGGCACCACAAGAGGCACCACTGAATCCTCTTGATAAGTAATATAATTAAACTGTCCACTTTTAATTTTGCCAACGTGTGAGAAGTGCTTGAGGCTCGAACTTGATATCTATGCGTTACGCATGGATCAACTTAAACATTTCTACACATTAAACATGAACTACGTGTATATCCTTAACATTTGCAAAGATCGCTAAGACTGTAGGATGCAATTCTGCAGTAGGCTCAGATCTTGAGAACATTCCAAGCAAAACCTTGAAGAATTAGTCACTCAACTGAGAGAAGAATTAAGACGACTTCTGTTTTCTCTGGGTCCTGTTTCAAATAAACCAACTCGCCATCTCAGTGGCGGTAAGTTCACATTTAGTTTAAGGAATGGCGTGAGATGGATTTCATCGTCTGCCCAAGCCACATGCATCTCAATTATTGAAACCAGGAGCAACCAGTGGAATTTGCATTTCAGTCCCCCATGACACTACTGCTCTTGTTACTTGCACAGATCTAGCAGTTTATTTGTGAGTGTTCATATTAAAGACTTATGAGTGTAATTAATATGCGTTTTAAAATGATCAGTTGCTAGATTTTACAGAAGTTTTTTTTTATATTTAAAAGAAACACAAGAGAGTGTTCAGAGAACAATTGTCAGTCATAAAGAACTGCACACTGCTGGTCCTATAGATTGGTCTGAAGTTCTGAAGTGATGTCATGCAATTAAAAAAATATAAGGAACGTGCACATCCTCGATAGTTTTTATTTAATGCTGCGACCAGTCCTAGATTACACTGCATGTTTAGCAGCAATGTTTTGAGATGCACTAGGTGTCCGAATTCACCTTTAGGATTGGTTTTTAGTTTTGCAAAAAAAAATCCATTATAATTAAGTAAAACATTAATGTAATCGATGCAGCCACTTTGACGTCAAAATGGAACCGCCCCAACAGAAAATTACAATAAACTAAGCAAGTGTAGACGACTTGTGCTGTGATGTAGTTCATACTTAATTATCCGGTTGAACCAATGTTACATATTTAAACATTCTTTAAAAAAAACTAAAAATTCTGTTAAGAAATATAAACACCTAATACTATAGCTTTGACTAAATTAAAACCTTAACCCTCTCGGCAATTACACACTCGAAATTCTCCATTTGACGGTCTGCATTTTCTATTTCATGGACTTTTTTTCATGCACCAGACAAATGCAATCATGAACAGGTAAAACCTGTCGTCTTTTGCAAGTGGGTGCCTATTTTGTGAAATATTCATGTGAAAACATGGATATTAAAATATATTTTGTAATGTTCATTTTAAACATTTTCAAGAATGTTAAAGTCCTACAACAGGTTAGCACTAATAAAGATCGAAATCAATAAACGCCATCAAAAGAAGTTTAATATGTAAACAGGTCAATTCATTTGGAGAAAACTGCAATTAAATTGTACTACTGGATATTTGCTACATTTAAAGCATATTTTGTCATCTTTTTGTCAGTATAATTAGCCGTAAAATAAACTATATTGATCGTTTTTATCCTTAATAAATAAAACGACCAACTTACCATGTTCGTTTATTGTGCTGCACTACCAGAATGCGCTGACAAAATACGCGGAACATCTTTCCATGTGAAAAAGCTTCCAAAATGTTCTCTTGTTTTCTTCAACTGACAGGATTAAGATAACTCTGCTTGTCCATCAACCAGATTTCGTCAATGCTTGTTTTCAGAAACGCTTAATTCTAGATTATTCAGGACAGAATTACTAAACATGCTTTGATGATGCCTTGCTTAGTTCTTAATGAAACGACGATTTTGTAATAACGTATTTGTATATTTCATCCTCAAAATAAACTATAGTCGACACATACTCAAAAGGACTTTAAAGAACTAAACATTTAAAAATATATAGACATCAAACGTACTATTCAGTCGCCTGGGCTATTTGATGTTTAAATCATATGTATACATTTAAAATTCTAAATATTTTAGACAGTGAAAACTTCAGGAAAAGGATGCAAGTCAAAAGTTCAAATACTGTATGCTCCGCGATGCCTTCCAGTACAGTTACAGTACTGTATATAATTCCACATACAGAAAAAAAAATCGCATAATGCTGTTAGTTTCAAAAAGAGAGAAAAAAACAATATAAACTAGAATAGTCATCAACCGAATAAAAACTTAATCTGAGTCAGGATTCCCACCATCTGCATACGATTTAAGCCGGCGAGTGGCACAAGTCCCACTTCGCATCCTACCACAAACAGACTGCGAGGTGAAACAGCAAGAATCAATCAAGTTCTTATATGGAGCGCAGCTGGGGGAGTGAAGGACAGCCTCTCGTGGTCTTTTAATGGGAGATAGCGGGCGTCTTTACCTCCATGCATGAGGAAGACGCTCTGCTGTGCATCAGAACAAATGTATAGTATACTGTGTCCATTTAAAAAAATGCATAAAATATTAAGCGCAAGAAAAAAAACTGCGTCTCACAGTTGTATCTTATTTGTTGCTTTTAATGTTTAATGTTGTTTTGAATTTGATGTTCGCAAGTTTTCTGCACGCTTTTTCTTCATTTTAATTCACTGTTTGTATAAACATTTAATATTTTAATAGCCTTGGAGGAATATTCGTAGTTAAAGTTTACTGTATATTATACATCATATCAGAACGTTAAGGCTAGTGGATATCTAAAATCATATTTGTATATCTAGCTCAAGAATAAGAAAGTTTTACAATATTTATATAAGACTTAACACAAAATTAAGTAGTCTACATGTATTTCATATACTGGCATCAAAAGTGTACATAATAGTACATAACAACGGTCAGAGAAAAAGACAGGGGTTAATCCCCTGCAGGTGGAATCATGTATAAAAACACAATTGATGCATGAGGATTGGGTCCCATCAGCCTTGTGCCATGTGAAACCTGCTCTGCAATTATCCTGAACCTTTAACACATCTTTTAAATCAGAAGTCTTACATACTGTGTGCAAAAACACTGACGATCAATGTGCATCCCCACCCTCTTTCTACCATCTGTTTCTAAAAAAAAAATCCTCTGATAAAAACAGTAGAGTCCTCCCCAATACATATTCTCACAAATCATGAATTAAACTGTCTCTCTTGTTTACTTTTTGGACGACACAAATTTAAGAGTTTAACAACCATAAAAGAAAGATACACCACCAGTGCTCTTACCGGTTTCACCAAAGCAACCACCCACTAATATTTAATGAAAACAGCAACACCACCATCTGTTTTCATTCGACCCACTCCAAATTGACAGACTGAACTGCCACAATTATATACTGTATATTTTCTATATCCTTATAGCTGTTATTAAAAGGTGATCCACACTCCTTAAATAGAACTATATCAACATTCAGATTATAATTTCAAAAACGTTAATATAGTCATAGACCTCAACTTGGCTTCTCACATTTATTGATGCAATATTAGGAGCCATAATTAAAAAAGGATTAGGGGAAACGAAAACCTCAGTAAATAAACCTACAACCAACAACAACTTCTACTTTTCAGGACCTTTTCTTTTTCTGTGGTTTTCTCTTTACCCACTCTCCAAAAAACAGTTCTCTGCCAACAGTTCTTCAACAAAGGGCTCTATAACCTGGTCAGCAGGACTACACGTGTGTGAGTCCTCCAACCCCACAGGAGACACTACCATCTCTGGACTCTTTCTATTCTGCCAACTATCTTTCCTCACTTTCCCACTCAGTGTTAAATCTTTTTTCTAAATCTGATGTTTCGGCCGATCTTTTAGACTGTGTCCTATGTCTATAAACTCCATTCGAACAAGGATGTGTGATTATTTGGAGAGATGCTACAGATCAAATCTGATTCCATCTCCCTTTCCACATCACTGTTGTCCCTTTCCTCTACATTCTCTGCCACCTCACTACCTCCCAAACTCTCACACTCTCTCCATTCACGTTGCTCCATCATCACCCACCACCAATTCCCGTTCTTCATCCTGCTCCATAATCACTATTACAGCTCTCAATGCGTTTTCAAACATTTCCTGTCTTTGCAATGGTTTTCCCTGTTTCGTTTTATTTACAATGGAATTTGGACAGTCTCTAAACAAGTGATCTGCACTCTCACACAGATTACATTTTCTAATTTTCCGGCATTCTGCATAAGAATGTCCAATTTCTCTGCATTTTCCACAGAATGACTCAACTCACCACAACTCCTGTAGAATTTTGGCTGCCCTTGATAAAACACCAAGGCTTGATTTTTACCCCACATAATCAATGAAGGAATATGGTATATAAATACTTCTATCTTCATGTAATGAAAAAGGTATGCTCCAAATGTCATCATCATCCAAGATTTTCACCAGATCATCTTTAACTAAACAAAACATAGACAGCCATGTAACAATAACGTCTTTCATAAATATCCTTTTAACTCATTAAACATACAATTACAGTCCTACTAGAAAGATCCATCATTTTCTCCCATTCAAACCCATACAGTCTACTTCCTCTCTTCCACCTTCACACAAAACTCTTCCAGCAACTATGCAGGCTAACAGCAAAACCAACTAGGTAGAGTAAATAAACAGTGCACGTCTGATATCTTGATCCCCAACTCCTTCTGTAACATGTTTCTTGAAAAATCTCATCTTGAAATATCACTGAAGTGAATCGAACCATTGCCAACCTTAAAAACCATATGTTCACAAAAGTAATGGCACATCCCGACCCTACAGTCCACCATGGCCATTACAAAACTACCACAAACAACACAAAACAACCCCTACTGTACACCAAAAACAAAAAAAAAACTTGTTTGCAATCCTTCTCCTCTTTGGAAGATTCTGCCTTCACCTCAAGGCTTTACTCAGAGTAATTCAGACAATAGCCTTTCCCTTGTCCCTAAAGCAGCACCTACCCACCTCTCACCCTGAACTGCAGGAGCTTAGGCAAAAACCCAGCCCTATACACTTGACTGCTGTTATATTATGATTGCTAATTCGCAGGATGCTCCCTGGGCACTTCTCCCAGGAAATGTACTAGGCATGGCCCACTGGGAAGTGACCCCAGGGACACACTGGAGAGATTACATCTCTCAGCTGGCCTGGGAGGTCCTAGGAATCCCCTAGAAAGAGCTGGATAATGTTACTAGGGAAAGGGAAGTCCAGCCTGCCCTGGTTAGCCCGTTACAACTGTGACCCTCACCATGAGTAAGTGGTTAGAAGATAGATGGAATATTGCTTGTATTAAAATATTAAAAGTCCATAACAATTATTAAGTCTATTTTATTACAATTGTTGTTTGTATTTTTGTCACAGCAATTTTTCAATTAATGTCACAGAGTGATAACAGTTGAAGAAGAGAAAAGACTTACGGGCTATGAGATTGATATACTGTAGTAGCCAGTGATTTTGTGAGTATACTGTAGGTGTATTTTTATTTTCTCCTTTGTGACTATTTTCTCCCCCTAATCAAAGTCTTCACATGTAGACAGTGGGACAAGAGACAATTAATATGTCTAAATACTGTTTTCTCAAAATTCAATGACCTTACGGACTGGCACATGGAGGTGTGTGGTAGTGCGAGCCAGTTTTTGACCAGACCTTAGACAGGAGAACATGAAAGGAGTTAATGGGTTCCACAACACCTGGAAGTCTGTGCACTGACAGTTTTCAAACAACCTACTTTATATTATTTACACCAACTGTATCAACTGCAACCCTGGGTGAGACAATGGTGAGCATGACAATTTCATGCTACTAGCTCTCTTATCACTTTAACACCTTCACAAGTTACTGGAGTTTGTCCTCTCAGGCCAGTCATAAGTATTGACATTAGGTAGTAATACTGTAATATTAAACAAAACCCAGCAGTCATTTTACTTCATTTTGGAAAATAATTTTCGCTTTTATCTGCGGTAAAAAATTAAAATAGTAGGAAATCGTAGCTTGCTGTAATTTGTTTCTTTTTCACTTTAGGAAAAGCACAGTGAACTAAGAATCCCTGAACTGGCAGCTGAGACTGCAATCCTTTTTAATGAAGACATTTCATCAACCTCAGCAATCCATAAATTCCACTGCTTTCTTCTTTGGCTGGGACCATGAGTTATATTTAACAATAAGCTAAATCAAAATGTTAGAACAATGCAGGAGACATTTCAACTTGTGTTGTAAATAAATAAGGATGCACTAAAGGACAAAAAAACACTGCAATCAATTTTTCAGCAGGATACAATTAACCAGTGATTTCTAGTGGTTGTTTGAATGATCCTGAGGAGTGAGATAGTCTTCCACTATGAAGAACAATTTAAAAATATGCTAAACAAAACAACAACACTTTCTACAGGTTAAAATTATTTCAGGTTTTTCCTGTTCTGCACTATTGCTGTTTGTCTTCTCACTTGATTATATTCATTGTCCCACCTTGCTCCCAAAAGTCTAGTGAGGTGGTATTTATTGCACAAAAAGAACATTCTGTGATACCACCAGCTAAGCTTTTATCTCAGGAAAGACAGGATCCTATGTTCCAAAAGTTACTCTTTCTCTACATTAGGAAATTGCCACTTAAAAAATTACTGTGGTTCATTTGTTTTGAAATTCTTCATTTTATATGCCTTTTATATGCGGTAAAACCTCAGTATCCATGAGGGTTAGGTACCTTTAAGTCTCAATGAATTATAAATTTGCAAATGTGGGACTTAGTACTGTACCTTGTGGAAATGCACCACTCACCATTTTCTTTGCTCTTGACCAACTCAACCTGTTCTTGTGGTTTGTTTACCTGTCTTCTTCTAATTTCTTTTGTTATCCTTTTTCCAGAGACACATGAGAACTGAGTGTATGATAACTTAAGGAACAACATCCATTTTTTGGCAATTTAACCTTTCTAATATTTCACAACATAATACACACATACAGGCATTAATCTCTTAAGCATTCTACACAGCATACTGTACATCTTGTGCTTTTCTGATGGAAACTGAATATCTAAAGCATAACCCATGATGCTTTTCTAGGAGCATCTACATGCTACATGTTAAACCACATAAACTCTTTGGTAACCAAGCTATGCTTTTACTACACAGACAATTGCAGGTCTGGTGAAGTACTGTAGACCTGGGAGATTAACCTTCCCCTGTCTTTTTCAATACTCAAATATTGCTAGGCCCTTGATAAAACTGGCACACACATAAGCAGTTGACAGTTTGATTAAGCATAACAGTGCTGTGTTTATGTCACTCAATAATTTTTGTCCTAGTTAGGGCTGTTTCAAACATTTAGCTATCAC